CATAGGAGTGCTTATATTGATTTTCTGACATCTTGTTTTCTGTAAAGATTTTATTGGTAGGTTTGCAAATGTGTATCAGACTGTGCAATCTCTCCATGAGTTGGTTTTGAAACCCAGTATGGGATTCTGAGATACATTACCAAGGATATTATTACAAGATAAATCATTTGCTTCATTGAACACATACAACAATGCATATTTCCACTGAGATCAGTGACCTTTGATGTGTATCACCAGTGATCAGTCAAGTAGAAACAGTCAAAATATTTTATCAGATTTTCTCAATTTTTGCATGATATTTTCATACAGGACATCTGTTGTTCAAACTCGGGGAAGACTTTATACTGATGAATAAGGTGTTTGATAAAGTTTGATAAAGTTTGGAAGAGAATTAGTAAAGTTATTATGCACACAATAACAATTATTAACGACGACAACAACAACAACGACGACGACAACGCCGGACAAAATTTTTCCCTTAATATATCTTTCCCTTCCATCTTTGATGGTACGGGCAAGGTAAAAATTGGCAAAGGACAGACAAATTAGGCAAGATGTAGTCTCACATGTCAGAACATATTCACTGATGTGTGTCTAATATGTGTTGTAAAGCTAATAGATTTAGCCTAACACCACACACTGGATCTAACCAAGTTATGATCACATAACAATCTTGAGACAAGAATAGCAAACCTGTCATCAACTTAGCTGACAATGTTAGGATGTCTGAATGGATATGGCAGTTATACATGTCGTAACAACTAAAATTAGCAATTGGTATCACATTATAATGTCTTCAGTGACATAACACTCAATTTCCAGTTATGTGCAAAATGAAGCGTTACAAACAAGCTGCATCACTCACTTTAGATATTCACATTTTGTGAATTCTCAAATCGACATATAATTGTCTATTTTTAGACCGTCTTTTCAGAGCATTACACCAGTGTTCTGAATAAGTCAATATTGAAGAACTATAATACAGTAAAAGGATAAAAATGGTGATTGGGTAAGATTGGGAGTACATTATGGCACTGTTGAGTGGGTTCAAAGAGACTGTGGAGGAACACATGTCACATGGGACACTGATTAAGAAGGAAGGTGCAATTCAATACAGAAAAGGGCTCTGTAACATCAGTTATGGGGGGGGGGGGCACTGTTAGTACTTGTTCTTGATAGCAGTGCCATAACAGCACATGAGGCACTGTATGGGGACTCTAAAACAGTATATGAGGTGTCGATGTATTGGGGGGGGGGGGTAACACTACAATGAGTAGCTATTCAAAGTCATATGGGATGCTATAATATCTGTACCACAATGGGTACTGTTGAATATGGTTGTATGGGGTGCTATAAAATCACAATCACAAATTTTTAGACTAAAGCGAACAGACAATACCAAGGGTAAGCCCGTAATATGAATGAGATCTACAGAGATCAGAATTGTTGGAAAAAGTTTATATTGGAATCAGTGATAAAACGGGCCAAAATAAGATAATATAAATTTTGCAAAGCCAATCAAATATCAAATTTTATATTATTATAAATTACTAATGTACAATAGGAGACATCATAAAACAGATTACGACACGCAGTGACAACCATTTGGAAAGCAATATAAGATTTTACAATCGACACAAAAACTTTGTCCCCATGAAATTAGTATTGAATATACTATATTAATTACTTTACAACACAATTCAGTTGGAAAAGAAAACTAAACCTAGTTTTAAACAACCATGCTTTGTGACTTGTAATTCCTGACTGATGATTGACAAGCGGCTGAAGTGATCTGACACAAACTTCATAAATAATATTTCACTAGAAGTTTGCGCATTCACACTAGTTACAATAAACACTGTACTGACTTCTCAGAGTAGAGAGATTCAAGTAAGTATTTGTCACCAAATTCAACAGGAGAATAACGCACTGGAGAGGCTCATTACTCAATTTCTAGGTCTAGAACTGAGCCCAAGTCATCAAGAGATGTCCCATACTATATATCAATATCATTATGAAAATGACTAAACTTACAGTCACAACCTCAAATCATCACAGTAGCAAACTTGGCAAAGAAAATAAATGCGTGTGACTCTTGGAAAACACACCAACTACAATATATATTTTGCCAGATAATACATTTTGTGGAAATTGGTAACATCACAACCCAGCAAATGGACAGGTAAGAGTTCAAATCAAATTTTGCCATTATTTTTTCAACAATTATTAACTTCATTTTATTATAACTATGTTTTTGTGATAAGAAATTATAATTTGTAAAAAAATAATTCAGTTCTGAGTTGCTGACATTGAAAACTAAACTTTTCTGAAAGTTCAAAGGTCACCATAGGTAAATAGCAAGTTCTATTTTAATACATACTGACACTACTTGAACAATGACATACTATTACAACTAGGTGTATTTATGTAAACAATCCGAACTCAGCGTTACCATGGGTTTGTAGTTCCATGGTAACCAAACTATTCTTACTATAATAATTTTAATATTACCGGTACTTATTATGGACTTTGAATGTTTAAATAAATTCTCTCGCAAAACATTTGTTTTTAAACAATTTCATGTAATTTTGAACCACTTTGTTAAAAGTGACAAAAATCAACATTGGTGATCATAAAAAATAAGCAACAACTCAGACAACTTTTTTTTTATTCAAATCTCCATTTCAGAGGATGTCGTGAATGCAGGGACTTGGGGTTGTCTCACCAGGCAAGGCACTGAAACCTGTAGAAGAAGTCGTGAATGCTGGGACTTGAGGTTGTCTCACCAGGCAAAGCACTGAAACCTGTGGAAGCACCTATAAATTAAACGCCTACGCTGATGCAAGATAAAATCAACAGACAAGAAAAACCTTTCAAACAAATAAATAAAATGAACATGGTGTCTCTCTCGCTATTCCAACAAAACAGTGCACATTGCATTTCTCCATTTAAGAAAACAAAAGAAAAGGTTATTGTTTATTTAGTTGAGAAATTAACTAATAGTGTAACAACAAATTTAATACAACTGATACTTCCGTTTTGCAAAAATAATCACACATTTGTTTAGAAAGGTTACTCTGCCCCCCTATGGGAATTTCAAAGAAGCAAACATACATTAAGTCAGACCTTCAAACCTCTAGAGATATCATTGATCACCAACATGCTATCCAATAATAATAAAAATTCACTCAGTATATCAAAATAGAAACAATAACTAATCATAAATTGAAAAATTGTATCATATGAAAAATGTTTAAATTAATTATTGTTCACTGCTATTCTAATATATTATTAGCTGTGATGTGTGCACTCAGATTTTCTCATTTGATATACAAATTTGTTTATTTTGGGAAATGACACCAGTCTTGTTGGCTCAGATACAAAATAATCCTAGTTGTCTGCTGTGTACAATCCGCATTTGCTGCTTTCCCATTATAACAGAATCTATTTTGGGAAAATTACATTTGGGAAATTTGTGAAAAGACATCTGGCAGCCATGATGCAAAACAATCTGTTTGTGTTAACTGCTTTTTATAAAGAGCATTTTTGGCAATCCCCTTGGATGCTAGATTAGCTTCTAGTGAGAATCGCATAGATTCTTCCGTGACTTCTCCAATTTATTGTTACTACAGGCACTGGGAAGTATTCACGAAGAAATGTGTTTTCATTGTAGTCCAAGGAAACTACTGCTATAATAGAATTTATTTGTATTATTTTACTGTTTTTTGTATAAATAATTGTAGACAGATTTCGACACACAATATATATAATATTACACACACTGTAAAAAATTAACAATCAAAGGTAGGTTTGCATCACAGTACAATATATAGAATATTAAAATATTCTGAGCATTTTACATTTGACTAAGCCATTAGTAAGTGAGCCATAGGGAGAATAAATAGTTAATGAGGTAGTGTTAAATGTCTTAGAACGGTAAACGGAAATCCGTATATGTATTTCGATTCGACTAGGTTAGGATGCTATTTAGATAACAAGAAACATAACCTCAGGTCATATTTTAAATGTCACTCAAGACATAATCACTGTCATCAGCTCTGTCTCTGTCTATTTGCAGCAAGATCAACATAATGTCACAACAATGTTTAGCAAAGTACAAGATGTGTTCTGTATTTGTATGTGGAAAATACAATAAAGACAGTTCAATTAAGCATAAACAATAAATCTCTAATTCTCAAAGCCAAAGGGATGAAATATTGCAAAATCCAATGTGATTCCAATGGTCACTCGCACACAACGTGATTAATTTACCAAAATTCTAGTTTCTGCATGGTTTGCTATGGATTTGAAAAAGTGTGTGAGGTAAAACTCAAAAAAGAGACAAAAAACTGGATGGACATACCAAGCATGAGTGCTATATGACAAAAGATTGAGGAAGTATCAATGTCCTTATTTTACTACTTCACAAAATGAACCAGCCTAATAAATCACCAACACGCTACAATGCATCAAACATATAACAATATTTTTCCCTGCTATTTTTTCCTAACAAGAACATGCCACATTTTAGCTCTGAATGTTTTTTTTAAGTCAAGGCAAGGCAACTTAGTAGTGATAAGAGACATTTGACTCATGGATGGAAGATAAAAACAACCACATTTCATTTCATTTCATTTTTTAGAAAATCTGATATACAGCATGAAGAATGATAACATCAATAAGCAACACTCACTGGTTAGGTATTACCTGTCACTGATCAAAATTGATATACAAATTTAAGAGATAAATGTAATCAGAGATTGATCGAGTCACTTGTTACAGGCGACACTGTCACCTGATACAAGACAGTGTCACCTGATACAAGACACTGTCACCTGATACAAGACAGTGTCACCTGATACAAGACACTGTCACCTGATACAAGACAGTGTCACCTGATTCAAGACACTGTAACCCGATACAAATAACATACGTATTCAACTTACCAATTCATATCTTTCAAACTGCTCTGAGTGGCACATGGTTGTCGGCATAGCAACACCACAACAGAATCAGCCTTGGCTGGAATGAATCCCAACAAGAAGACGTTCCTACAGCCACAGTTGTAGCATTCCAATATAGTCTCACCTAAGGGGCCATCTTTGTGCAGGGTAACTTCTTTGCATTTGGCACGAACAAGATGGTTTACAATATGGCTAAAAACAAAGTATAATAATTTATTTAATGCAAGTTGAAACTGAGATAAATTAAGAAAGTTACAAAGTCCATTGTGCTGTTAGAGAAGTTGCTAAACCATGAAGTTTAAAAACTGTAAAATACTTTTCTTTAGCTGGAATAAATTTTCACTGAAAAGACTTTTTGGGCGTTTTGTATGGAATTTATTTTCACTGATTTTTGACAAGTTGTAAAATATAGAATGGTATAGTTGCTTGATTTTATTTTCACTGAATCATTTCTTCAGCGAAAATAGCAAAAATTAATTCCAAGTGAAAAAAAAGTATTTTTCAGTATATATGCCATGCTTATTACAGTTTCATGAAATAAACAACTTTAGGAAAATAAATATACACAAGACTCCATAGTAAAATTTAATTAAAACACGAACAGTTGAATTAGAAATTAAATTTTTTGGAAACTCAAGATAATGAAACAATGTGTATTGAACTATATTTTAAAAAAAAAATTTAAGGTACTGATCTGTTTGGTAAGATACAGTAGTTTCAACAGTTTCTCTGATGTGAATACATAGGCAATAAAACGTGTTCTCGCATGAAAACTGTGCATATACTGCAAAACCACCCACATTCAGTGAACTGTATTAGGGGAGAGTAGGAAAACAAACGGGCGGTGCACAGCGATCATTCCCGCGGAAATGATGGGTGCTCGCCGGTCGACTGCATTTTATGCAAATTCATGCATAAATTCACACTTATTGACAAGACCATTAATGAACACAAAGAACTGGGAAATTAAAAGGATCACAAAGTTCTAATGAAAAATTAAACCAATTTGGCTGAGCCAAAAGCTAGGAAACTAGTCTATAATAGTTGACATTATTTTATTTGCCTGAGCCTTGGAATAAAATCACAAAACGATCCAGAAAGACGTAGAGATCAACATAATATAAAATATGATCGCATTATTTTGTGAATATATATCATGCATGGTCTCAGAAAATGTTTAGAAAGATTAATGTTTCACGTAGACCAAATATAATCACGTATAAGTATAAATTCAAAGTGTTTTAATACATTGGTGCGAGGTC